TTGCAATAGTATTGATTTCTAAATGCTGGGATTATCGTTTAGATATACCCCATGATTTTGTTCTCTGTAAATCTCTTCTTTCCCTCCTAAAAATGATACTGAGTCCTAACCCTAACCGATTTCCTTATTTTGGCTAGCGTAAGGGGAAAGAAGTCTCTTAGCAGACTCCTGCACCTAGAAACCTCATGAGCAAGCTGAGCTCAACAAGCCAACAAGGGGTGCTGAGGACAAACCGTCGGGGAGATCCTTCAAAGCCTACAAGTGGTAAAATCCTGGGGAAATGTAGGAGACCTAGATTGAATTTGAGGGAGTTGTATAAAATAGCACTTCATCAAGGTAAAAGAATTTATGACCTTGAACAAATTTCTAAATGTCTTTGCTTTTACCTTTTCCTTCTGCTAAAGGAAGCTCTTTATATCTACCTGGCAGATTTTATTATGGATAAAATGATAAAATGCACCATCAAGCAAGAGCACAGTGCCTAGCACTAGGTTATCAAGGCCAAATGGAGTGCCGGGGCGCTCCCCGGCGCGCGACGGCTGGTAATCCCCAGCACTCTGGCCGCGGCAGGGCGAGGGCGGGCGGGATTGCTCAACGGTCAGGAGGTCCACGCCCAGTTGACGAACCCGTCTCTAGCCACAGAAAAACAGGAAACCTAATTGGCCAACCACTAATATCATCTAGATATGGCAAATCAGCGGCGCATCGGTGAGCGGGCGCGCATGCCTGTAGTCCCAGCTACTCCGGGGAGGCTGGAAGGCATAGGAGGATCGCTTGAGCCCAGGATTCTGAGGTGCTGTGAGCGAGCGCCCCCACGGCGCACTCACTCTACGCCTGCAGCGAGCGACTTCTGTCTCAAAAAAAAAAAAAAAACAAATGGTAGCTAAGCGAGAGAGAGCCTGGAAGTGAAACCCAGGTAGGAATTTCAAGAAACAGGTGGTATTTGCTTTTTTTCTCCTTCAGGATTGCTAAATCGTTACGCCATCATTGGTTGCCATCCCGACCGTAATCTCTCGAGTCTCTGATTCTTGTTCATCATTCACGGCAGGTCAAAAGAAAGAATGTAATGTGAGAGTACCCTGGTTTTGCCAATGTTAGCAAAGTATAAATTAAGCTGTATGCAATCAAACATAATCAAACATTATGAAAATGAACCAGCTACTGATGTCAGTAAAACCACGTCCATAGAATTATCTAATGTGAGTTAATCCTCAAACAAGACAAAAGCCATACCATTAAATTTTGCTCAAATGATGACATATCATCACCGGTCTCGTGTACTTTTTTTTTAATTTTTTTGTTTTTGAGACGAGCGTCTCCATTCTGTTGCTCCAGGCTAGAGGTGGACGTGCCGGTGGCGTCAGCCTACTCACAAGCAACCTCAGACTCTGGGCCAGCCAATTCTGCTGACTCAGCCCCGAAGTAACCTCGGACTACAGGCATGCGCCACCATGCCCGGCTCATTTTTTCTATATACATTAGTTGGCCAGTTAATTTTTTTGTATTTATAGTAGAGACGGGGGTCTCGCTCTTGCTCAGGCTGGTTTTGAACTCCTGACCTGGAGCGATCCGCCCTCCTCGGCCTCCCAGAGTGCTGGGATGACAGGCGTGAGCCACCGCGCCTGGCCTCGTGTACTTTTATATTTGAAATGATATTAATAAATCTAAAATCTGGTGTCATTAAAAATTGCCATCTCTAGGCCGGGCGCTGTGGCTCACGCCTGTAATCCTAGCTCTTGGGAGGCCGAGGCGGGCGGATTGCTCAAGGTCAGGAGTTCAAAACCAGCCTGAGCAAGAGCGAGACTCCGTCTCTACTATAAATAGAAAGAAATTAATTGGCCAACTGATATATATATAAAAAAAATTAGCCGGGCATGGTGGCGCATGCCTGTAGTCCCAGCTACTCGGGAGGCTGAGGCAGGAGGATCGCTTGAGCCCAGGAGTTGGAGGTTGCTGTGAGCTAGGCTGACGCCACGGCACTCACTCTAGCCTGGGCAACAAAGCGAGACTCTGTCTCAAAAAAAAAAAGAAGTCCATTAGCTCAAGGGACATCTTTCAAGGCAGAGAACCAAATGACGGTCTCCCCATCCTGCAAGCATGGCCGGTCTCTGCAGAGCCGGGGGGTGGCGGGGGCACGAAGCCTCTTTCCTCTCCCCGCGGGGTACGATAGGAGGCCCGGCCTCTCCTCACGACCAACCGCTGCTCTCTTGCGTCTCCGTCCCCTCCACAGACTCACCTGAGGACGGGAGACGGCGTGGTGTCCCCCGGTGGTCGGGGCCCCTGACAGCAAGGGGCTGACATCCACGCCGGCAGCTCGCGAGTCGTGGAGTTTGGGTACTGACAGCCGATTTTCCGCAGTTTATGGACAGCAGGAAGAACCTATTGCCTCTCGCTGGATGCTCCACCCCCACCTTCTACTCCATCTCCAAGCCGGGGAGTTGAGGCCGGGCTGTGCACACCTGCTCCTCGGGGCGCAGGGACGGCGCTGCAGGGACACCGCCGTGTGTTGCCCGTGATGCCGCGCCCAACCCCAAATCCCACCTCCCACGCCAGTCAGCCTCTCCCGGGGACACCTTCCTTCCGTCACTCTGGACACAGCCTGGCCTGGTCTTGCCACCTGCAGCCTGTGCTATAAATTGTGGCAAGATGACTTCAGACCTTAGCAATTTGGCATGGGTTTTGCCGGTTAACTCTCGAGATGCTAGGACTCTCCCGCTGTCTCCACATGATCTACGTCCTGC